TAAGATTTAACAATGGAAGGCTGATAACATCAATCTTATTAGTTAATAAAGAAAAAAACTGCATATACAATAAAGCTTTTCTAAGCTAACACAAATACACGGAAATAGAGGAACCTGGTATCTCAAACTCAGAAGATTGACATAAGAGACAGCATAAAACACAAAGATGAAGCTTACAAATAGCCAATCTATGCTTTAATATTAGAAAGCCGCAGATTCCATGTGACGAAACAGAGATCAAACAAGACTGTTTTCCAATAAGTAACATTGGCCTTGTAAGTTACTGGTAGAGATTTACTAGTTATTCGAGCGAAAAATATATTTGAAAGCTCCTTACACTACCATAAACTTCCACGGCTAGCTCAGCTTCAAACAGCCAAATTCTTTTTTGAAATCATGACCAATGAGATCAAAACTTATATAACATCCACTCTAAAATTGGAAAATAGAGTATAAGGACAAAGTTTGGTTTTTGAATTTGAGTGACCAATAAATTTAGCCTATTTATCAAAATGGGTTTACCAGAAATGTAAATATACAGTCAAACAAAAAGGATCTGAGGACTACTTCATGTCAAGACAAATAGTTTTTATCGTAAAATTTGCTTCTTATTTGCATCAACATTCAGCAGAGACACTATACTAAAAACAAATAGTTATTTATTGTAAAATCTGCTTATATCAGACAAACCTGCAGGCTGCAGATTTAACTTTATGAACCTGACGAAGCATAGAGGATCTTACTAAAGACTCCAGCAATACCCAAGAAAAGTAAAAGAGAATCTAAACACACACAATTTACAGTTACCGCACAATGATAAAACTGATCATTTATAAGAAACCAGTAATAAATTATTTTTAACCTCATGTTCCAAATTTTTTAAATTAATCGGAGGAATATGCGACGATTTTTTCCAGGAAATCCCCAACGAAAAATACACACTACGCCCAACATATAATTCCCAATACATAAACACATCACTTTCCTACATAGTGCAAAAAGATGAAAGAACTTTTCCTTTAAATTGGCTTCTCACTCTACTAAGCAAGTGACGGAGCAATCATAATCCACATGGAAAGTCAAGCTTTCTGCTTGCACCATATCAGCCATTTGGGCATACAACACGTTTTGCACCATCCCTTCTCAAAGATTCAAGCAACACAGGTGACATTCAACCTTCTCAGAAAAACGCAATTCAATTGCCGCCCTGATAAACTCCTTTCTGATAGCGTCATTCTATGGACTAAGTACTTTTCATTTTCATTTTTCTTCCGATAATTCCAATTAATCTCCACACCTTTGCAACAGAATTGTTTTTTCCATTGTAACCTACCCTTACGTGGTGTAATAACCTCTACTATTTCCTTAGAGAGAGCTTTCCATGGACAGCATAAAATCCAGGTCTTAATGCTAGGTGACGATAAAAATTCTACTTGTTTTGAACCAGAATAAAAAATTACTTTAATCAGTGTTTCTTTCTCTTTTGTTTTTTGTTTTTTTTTCCAACTTTTTTTGGAAGACAGTGAATTCAATGAGTTTCGTATAGCAAAAAAAACGTCTTCTACGCAGTTATCCTGTTTTTTAAGTGAATACTGTGACTGCAACACTAATTACATCTTCGTAACATCAATGACTTGATGTAGAAAATTACAAACTCTGCTCTTAATAGAATTTTAGAGACAAAGTCAACTAATTAATTTAATATTTTTCAGATCAGAATCAAAGTACCAGCAGTCTATGGACCTTTCATTTCAATTCCTTAAATGTACAAATCCAACCTTCCTCAACAAGACCATTTTTACTTATCTGAATCTTTGCACATATTCCTATAAACCCAAGAGCTGCTTCCCCTAGAGTTCCCAACTTATACCCTAGTATCATAACCTGTACTAGGCATCTTCAATATTTCATCTTCAATATTTCAACTTATACCCTAGTATCAATAACTTGTAATACTCAAAGAATTCAGAAAAATAAAATAAATCAAAACTCGGCATCTTCAATATTTCATCATCTACGACTTGAGAACCTGCAAGCCTCCGCTCAAAACAATGCACCTAAAGTTACATAGTACTTTTTAAGTCTAAACTTTTAATTCAGCAGAAACAGGTGATAAAAAATCATTCAACCATTAAGCATTCATGATATAAAAGAGTAGAAAAGATCATATTCTAGTTCATTTCTTTCCTTTGTGTTTTCTCAGAAATCAAACATTCATGTAAACTGCATTTACCAGTTCCAGATTCGCTCCCATTGTCAGAAAGTGCTTAATTAAATTATTAACAGAGATCAACCACACTTGGATAAACACGATTTACCAATTTCCACTAAGAAATGTAATTTCAAATTCACGAAAACCAATCCAAATTCAAGCAAAAGCAGCGAGCGGATAACACTCACAAGAGCTAGCCTCGGCGGCCGAACACCAATCCTCGCCTCCATGCGAACCCGATCGAGCCCATCACCCTCCACGAACCTCTTCGAAACTCTCCCAGGCACAAACCTGAAGGCGCTCCCAAACTTCAAGCCTTCCCTGAGCAACCGCCCTCTCTCACTTCCTTGCCTGAAAACCAAAGTCATGGAGCTCTGCAACACCATCGTGGCCACCGCGAAGACGAAGACCGCGAAGATGAGGACGACATAGAACACCGACTTTCCTTTGAAGGGAAAAAGCCACAGCAAGCCCTTGCGATAGAAGCGGGTGTTGTGCGATCTCGGGCGCGGGAACGGTCGATCCGTGTAGGCCCTGGCCCGGTCTGGGTGGTGGCTAGGGTTAGGATTCCGCTTGAAGGGCAAGCGACCGCGAATCGAATGGAAACCTAGATCGTTACCTCCAGCACCGCCATTGTCGTCGAGGATAGCTGGAGGAGACGATGAGTTCCGGCCCATTTGCAAGGACTTTTTTTCTAAATTTTGTCGTCGGCTAATTTCCCGGGAAAGTGACTAGAAGCCTCCGAGGTTTAGAGAGAAAGTGAAGATGATGGTGGGGTGGTGGTGAGAGGTGGCATGGAGAGAGAGATGGAAAGAGATATAGGTAGAAGAAAACAAAGAAAGTAAGATGCAGTGGATTTGCAGACTCTGTTTTTATTTTTTATTTAATTTTTTTTAAAATTATTTTCTTGCCAACGTGAATGTAATGCAAGTGACGGAGTGCTTGAATTTCCTTTTTCTTTTTTCTTTAATTTTTTATGAGGTGTATGGAAAATGATGAACTTTTTTCTTTAATTTAGTACAACAAGACAATATTTACTGTGATAATTATACATGAGCGTATTTATAATACCACGTAGTTACATTCACGTTGATAATGTTCAGATTCTCAACATTTTTATAAGATTCGACAATAATTTCAAGGCATGTTTACTTATTACGAACAGAGCAAGTTATAAACTAGGAAACCTAGAAATTGGAAAATGAAGAAATTGAAATTGAATCAATACTGCCTTATTTGTTACAATTTCCGGTGCTTGTTGATCTTGAGAGTATTGGATTACAAATATTTATGTTGATAAATACAATAAAAGTTAGGAATTTAATAGAAATAGGAGTTGAAATAATTTTAATATTTATTTTTGATAAATAAACACGCTATTATTGGAATACTCGTGACCAAAAGCGAAGAGTCCAGTCCAGCGGATGAATGAGTGATTTGGAAAGTGACGCGCCAAAATGAAAAGGACAAAGCAGACGACTTGAAGTTCAGTTTGGCAAATTACCAAAAGAGCGTGGAAAGCAAAAAAAACGCGTTTTCAATAAGACTTTTGCTACAAAAAAATGGTGTGTTTAAAGGGGGGAACAACAAGCCGAATTTCGACTCAACAAACCACATAATAGGGCATCCTAAATAAGATCATGGGGCACCTCAAATCAAATAATGTTGTCTACATTATACTGACCGACTCGAGCAAGTCGGTGTGCAACACAATTTGCTTTCCCATGAGTAAATTGAAAAATAAAACTAGGAAACTGTTTCACCGACATGACAAGCCATATATGCAGCAATTTTATGAAGTACAAACCGTTAATGAAATTATTAATATGTCCAACATTCAAACAACATTATTAATTAGATCAGTCTCATTGTCAAGTTGATGCGAATTGTGGGTGAGATTTTGTAGGCCTGTTAGGTTGGGAGCGTACTGCCTTACGACAATGACAGTGGGTTTTTATTTTTTATTTTTTATTTTTTATTTATTGGCCTAAATTGGTTTTGTTTGGGAGTAAAAAAAATATATTCATTTTTTTGTTGTTGGAAAAGATGCTTTATTCATTTTCCTTGAGTATGATTAATTTGATAATAATATGTGTATGAGAATAATAAGATGTGTCTCAAATTAAAGAGAGGTTTGTTTTTCTTTTTTCTTTTTTCTTTTTAAATTGATGAATAATTTCAGTCCATCTATATATATAAAGCAAAAGACAGAGAATGGTGAAACATTCAAAATACCAGAAAATGTCCTTGGTTAATCCAAATATTAAGAATTGAAATTATTAATTAAATGAGGATAATATGATAAATTTACATTTTTTCATATTAAAAAAATTAAAATTAAAAACAAAATCAGATAATAAGTCCTACTTTTATGGAACATAACTACCCATGTTATTTTTTCTCAATTCTAAAATAAATATTAATAAAAAAACCAATTGGCACATGCATGAGATAAGAAAGATTTAAACAGTCAGCCTTACTTCTTTAATTATCAACTATTGTATTGGTCTCATGTAAAAGTAGTTTGTAAATATCATATTTATTTGTATAAAATAAAGTTTACTTCAGTAATTGCTAAATAGTTAATACATTTTAGGAGATTAAAGCAAACTATGTATGCGTGTGCCTCAAATAGCTTAAAGCATTTACACAATAAACGCATTCTTCTGTCAATTGGTCTGCAGGTCCCCAAGAGGAATTTGCACTTTTGCCCTCCTAGGATGGATACAATTGGGCTCAGGTTTCATGTCCCATGGTTTGATTTCTTTTTATTAATAAAGTTTCTCTCATGTCGTCGATGTTTCCAGCACTGGCAAGGAAGAGGAGGCAGCCAAAGGCCATTAAACCTCAAGAATTTCTTATACCAGACAGGAATAGAAAAGAACTTCGTTTGCTGTTACAATCTACATTTGGGGGATGTCTTGGCTTTGTGATTGACAGGTATAGATTCATCTCCATGTCAAATGTTTGGGTTATAGATTTGGGAGCCATCGATCACATGACGAATAAAACGCAAAATCTTTTTTATTTTTCACTAAGTCTCAATTTGTCTTTGTAGCTAATGGTACCGATGTCTCAGTTTTGGAACAGGGAAATATTAAATTTCTTGCTACAAATGTTGAGTTCATTGTCTTATAAGTTATATGTGCCATTGTTCCCTTTTCAGTTGCTGTTAGTCGAGAGACTGACATATTCCTTTAACTGTGATGCCATTTTTTTTCTTCTTCTTTTGATGTGGTCTTTCAGGATCGACTTATCAGGAAGAACATTGGTGAAGGTGTTTACTCTAATGGGTTGTATTTTCTTCATCATTTCCGTAACAACTCAAACGGGCTCCAAGTCAATTCTCTCAAAAATCGTGTTTTGTGGCATCGAAGTCTGAGATATCCCTCTGAATCTATTTTGTCAAGTTTATTTTCAGCACTAGATAAAACCACTCAAGATTGTGAGATTTGTCATTTTTCAAAACAGACATGCCTGCTGTTAATTTGGTCATTCATTGTCAAAAACTATCATACCTCTTGAGATTGCTTATTCAAATGTATGGGGGCCATCACTCTTAGAATCTTTGGGTGGGTGTAAATGTTTTTTTATGTTTGTCGATGATTTCTCTTGTGCTACTTGGTTATATCTGTTGAAATCAAAGAGTGAGGTTGCTTCTGTCTTCGAAGAGTTTCATTAACTTATTGTGAATCATTTTTCCGCCCAGTTTAAAGTCTTGAGATCTTACGTATGGTGTTGAATTTATGACTATTACTCTTTCACAATACTTAAGTTCTTATGGTTTAGTTCAGCAGACAAATTGTGTTAGCACACCCCAACAAAATGGGGTGGCAGAGAAAAAATAGTTATCTTCTAGAAAAGATGGGGTCGCTCATGTTGCAAAGTGTACAACCAGTGCTGATCCTAGTCTTACAAACATTTTTTGCCCTCGAGATACAGCTTCCAACAGTGAACGTACAACTTCCAATAGCGAAGGAACAACTTCTAGGAGTGTTCAAACTGAGCCTATTAATCCTCTTATACTTTTCCTTCTCTCGGTGGACCTCGGAATCCCCCACCAAAATTCAAAGATTATGTCAATTGGGCTACCTTAGTTGAAATGTATATCACCTACGCTAATGTGTTTCGATCCCATGTTGCCTTTCTAAGCCAAATTTCGAACTCTTGTGAACCTAGCTTTTTTCAAGAGTCAAATTCCCGATTGAGTTGGCAAAATGCAATGAGAGAAGAGCTGAAAGCTCTTGTTGAAAATCAAACATGGAGTATTGTCAAGCCCCCTAAAGGGAAGGAAGTGGTTGGTTGCAAATGGGTTTATAAAATCAAGTTTAACAGTGATGGATCCATTGAGAGACATAAGGCAAGACTCGTGGTCAAGGGGTTTACTCAAACTTTTGAAGTAGCAAGGAAATTTTTGATCATGTAGCAAAGATGAACACAGTAACAGTGAGTTGCTCCAAAAAAGGCACAAAAGGTAAAGAAATTAACTTATGCTCCATCTTCTCCTTAATGAAATGCGGATCAACTTCTACATGCTTAGTTCGATCATATTGCACCGGATTGTTAGCAATTTCAAATGCAGACTGACTATCATAGTGGAGCTTTATAGAAGCATTCAATCTAAACCCAATTTCAACAAGTAACCACCTCAATCATAATACTTCACAAAAACCCTGGAAATCCCTCTGTACTCAACCTGCATAGGATAACATTTGTATGGCTTTTGAATTTTTTTTTTCAGTGACCAAGTTGAAATCTCCTGTAAAATCTAGTGTCAAAAAATATATTTAACACAACAACTTAACTTAAATTAACGTCAAGTCTATAAATTGTAAACTTTGGATAATACAATACTAATTTGGTTAAATTCTTTTGTCAGTGCCCAAATTGAAATTTCACATAAAAACTTAGTGACAAAAAGATATTTAACCCTTTTGAAATTCTGGATCAGTCCCTGATAACAACAAATAAGTGGTCTAAATCCAACTTTTAGTTGTGTTTTTGGATATACGTCAAATTTACTATTTTCTCTTTAATAATTTGCAAATTCAACACTCGAAGCTGAACCTTACTTGAACATAGTTGTTGACATGGGCATCCTTGTTAGGAGAGGTGAAAAGCTCTTAATGTTGTGCGTCCATTCACCATCAACAATGTACTTATATTTATATCGTCCTTCCTGTAAAGAAAACATGCAACATTCTATATTTCCCAAGTCAACAATTGCCAGTCTAGTTTATTAGATACGGGTTGCTTTTCATCACGTTACTTCCTTATTTTCATAGATTTCTTAAAACTTCTTTATTCTTGCGCTAGGTTGTTCAGATACGTGAGCATTAAAATTTCTAGATCGATGAAAAGCAATTTACAGTAAAATTTTGATTGGTTATTTACTAAATACATCTCAGGGTAATTTGGATATTGAAGGAAGATATGGCATATGATTTGATAATCGGGACCAAGAAAATTGCTAGTGACTGAAACATTTGTGGGGGAGTAATCTGGAATATTGACTTGTAAAATTGAAAGAGAGCCCAATGTTGCAAGAGTTCAATTCTACAAATTCAAAATTTTCCGTTCATGTTATAATAAAAAATAAAATAAAAACCAAACATCATGGTGATAGGACTCTATATTATTGTGCTTATAAATCTTAAAAATACACATCATGGTAGAAATAGATGCAGACTCCGTTGGTCTTTTCAACACAAATTTATCCCATTTTCTTATGTAGCATTAATAAGATTCCCCCAAGTTTCTCGAGATATGGTAATTTAGTAATACCTTGTTCTTCTTCTACTTCAACCAAATCTTTATAATTGTTTAGCGAAATCATATTGTATGTACAACTATGGACTGTAATTTCACCATTGAGTGGTATACACTTCATGGAAACAAAGAATATGCAGTAGTTATTGGAATAACTCTGGTTGAAAAATATGACGTCCTCCCATTTGCCGCACTTAGAAAAATTAGTAGGCTGCCAATATATAAATCTTGGCGTGAGTCAAAGTCAACGTTCCTATTAGGAATAGAATTTGTTCCTCTTAGGAATGGAATTTGTATTTTATTATAATTATTTAATTTGAGTAGAATTAGGAGATTTTGGTATATATTTCATATTTGTACCCTCTCCATATGTAGTATATATATCCCTCCTTGAGAGAAGAATATACATATCAGTTTAAACCCTAATTACTTTTGAGTTGGTATTAGAACAGCTTTGAATTCGTCTCTACAACATCAAAATCCTAATCCTAAAAATACTTATTTCCACTGCACCTAGCCTATACACTTAAGCCTGAGCCGTCTCATCTTTCTTACTGTTGTCGTTGACACCTAATCTTCTAATGTCACCGCCATCTATTACCATGCCAGATGTCATTGAACTTCTTCCTCTACCCCTGTTGTGATGGTTTATACTAAATCGTCCACCAATATACCCATGGGATTCAAATTGAATGGATCCAACTATGAGATATAAGCTTCGATGATCAAAATCCATGATACTACACGAGGCAAATTGGGTTACCTGATTGGCGACACTGATGCCCCTGATTCCCAAGACCCATAATTTGGGAAGTGTAAAATTGTTGATGCTACTGTGGAAAGTTGGATGCTGCGAACTATGAAACCCAATTTATTGAATATGTTTCATACTCTACCTACTGCTAAGGAAATTTGGGATGTTATTAATCAAATATTTTATGATGGCTCTGACATATCCTAGCTCTATGAATTGCGGTGTCAGGCTACCTATATCAAGCAAGATGGTTGTCTTGTCTCTACCTATTTCGTTGAACTTAAGGCAATCTGACTTGAATAGGACAAGAGACGTCCTTTTCAAATGAAGTGTGCAGATGATATGAAGACTTTCAAGCTGCTATTATGGCAAATCGTGTGTATGATTTTTTGGTTGGGCTTGACATTTCTTATGACAAGGTCCGCAGCGAGATTCTACAGAGTGATAAAGTTTCAAGTATCAAAAATGTCTTTTTTATGGTCCATCGAGAGACTCAATGCCAGATTACTATGCTTGGATATGGCACCAAGACTTGGGAACCTGCTGTTGTGTTTGCTTCCAAAACACTGCTCTACTTTCTTAGCCTACAAGGTCTGGCTCTTTAGCAGTTTCACCTTTGCCTGACTTCTGCAAAAAAAATGTAAACTAAAATGTGATCATTGTGGTCATAAAAGACATACTATCGACACCTACTGGGCGTTTCATGGGGTACCATATTGGGAGAAGGAATGGAGGCGTCTAAAAAAGAAACAACTGGGCGGTAAAGCTCATGTGGTTGCTGCCGCCACTTTTGTGGTTGACGTCACCACTGGACATGGCCACCTGATCGCTACTCCTACTTTGACTATGACCGCGATCTCAAGCATTCCAACACCTCTTGAACCTATGTTGCCTCCAGGTATCTTTGGCAAGACTTTTCTTACCCATGATGCATGTAATACATGTTGGATTGTTGATTGAGGGGCTACTGACCGTATGACGTATAATTTTGCTTTATTCTCTACTACTCTTCCCCCTCATCTTGATCATGTTCTAACTGCTAATAATGCTCATGCTCTTGTCACAGGGGCTGGTTCCGTACTCTCGACACTTGCTTTACCATTGGACAAAGTGTTATTGGTTTCATCTCTGTCTAGTAATTTATTATTTATGCCGCAAGTTACTGAGCAGTTACACTATATTGTATTGATGCATTTGTCTTTTTTCTTAATACGGGATATCCAGACTTGGGAGATCTTTGGCCATGGTATTAAAAAGAGGGGGCTTTATTATTTGGATGACGTGGAAACTAGTCGGGTTCTTCATGCTGGAAACGTCAAAACTTCTCAGCATCGTCAAATTTAGTTGCTACATTGCCGATTTGGTCATGCCTTGTTTGGATATTTACGGCATTTGTTTCCTGCATAATTTAGTGGTATCAACAAGTCTGCTTTCCAATGTCACAATTGTATTTTAGCTAAGAGTCATTGGGTATCCTACCCTTCGAGTTGTAATAAACGGCTTATGTCATTTGATTTAGTTCATTATGATATTTGTGGACCTTCCCATATTTCTACTGCCTTGGGAGTTTGCTGGTTTTTGTCATTTGTGGATTATTGCACTCGTATGATGTGGTTATATGGGATGAAAAATAAAGTGATGTGGTCGACATCTTTCAGCATTTCTATCAGATGATTCAGACTCAATTTATGCTCCATATAAAGGTTTTTTTGATGTGATAATGGTGGATAATTTATTAATTCAGCATTATCCCAGTTTTTTCACACTAGGGGTGCACTTCATGTGACTACTTGCCCTCAAACACTACAATAGAATGGGGTCGCTGAACGTAAAAATGGGCAGATCCTTGCCTCTGCCCATGCTATGTTGCTTGGTGCGTCAGTCCAAATCGGTTCTGGATGGATGATGTTACCTATGTTGTTTATCTCTTCATCTTCTGCCTTCACGAGTTCTGAATTTTTGAACTCCTATGCAGCTACTAACCCATCATGTCTCCATTAAACCTGTTGAATGGCTGAACCTGCTAAACTGGATGAACTTGCTACACTGGCTGAACCTACTTCACCAGTTGAACATGCTATTTTAACTGATGCCGATGTTGTCACTAAATCGATTGGCCCCTGCTACTTCTCCAATAGTACCTGATCAAACTCCACTGGATATTCCTGAGGTAAGTACTTCTATTCATACTGTTGATAATTCTTATGGTCTATCGCCTAGATGGAATTGTCAGGTTTCACCTAATCGTTACTCACCAGAAGGCAAAGAAAGATATGATATTACCCATTATGTTGGGATCTTCATTTGATTTACCATAGAATGAAGGAAGAAGACCAGCGGTGTCGGATTTCAACTCAAATGAAACATCATCTATTTCAGGTAATGTAATATGTGAAGGCTCTTCTAAGATTGTGGGCTGTGAATACTCCTTCAAGGGCTTAGTGTTGGCTGCTATTGACTCTGTGTCAGACTCTAGATCAGTAGCAAATATTCATTGGTTGATGCGATAGAGCTCTCGGAACATTTTTTTTAATCTCAGGATCACAGGGTACTAATTCTTGACCTTGGGATCTTGTGCTGACCATCAACTAACACACACACAGCACGCAAATATTGAGAGCAACCTATAGACAACAAACCAAAAGAGATAGTTAATAATAGGTGGTGCTGGAAAACAACGAAATAAATAATAAAAGATAATAAATCAAAGAAATACAATAAAGTAAAACAATAACGCAAATATTAAAGGGACGACAAGCAATTGAAATAAAGACCAAAGTAAAGCTAAAATCACACAACACAAAGAATTAAACTCAGTCCTCAGCAGCGGCGCCAAAAAACTTGATGTAAAATTTTACTACTTGAAAATTAGATAGTTAAATTCAAGAAATAAACTTGCAAGTGCACAAGGTTAATGCAATATAGCCAAGGCAAGTAGAAGGTTGTTCGCACAGAGACTGAATAAATTCTCAAGTTGTTGTGAATTATAAACTAATTTAAATGTTAAATTACTCTAGACACCCAAACTAATAAACTTAAAACTAATCACTCAACTAAAACTTAATAAAGGAGTTTTGAAAGTTGGTTTTGAAAGATTTTCTTTAAAAGAATGTTAAAAACAAGAAAATTAAAAGACAAGATAACGAAGAAAAATGTGAACTAAATAAGTTTGTGAAATATTTTAAAGAAGTTTACCAAGACAAAAATTTCTCCACAATTCCTCTTATCCAAACCTTAGCATGCATACTATCAAAATTCCCAAGTTATGTTGATGATTAGTTCTCCAAAATTATGATTAACTCTTTTCACAGAAGTTAACCACTTCTTCTTACACGCAATTTATCCTTGGCATGAGGCATAAATATAAACATATAAAAAGACCTTAAGTTCAATGAGAACTTCACACAATCACACAAACCCCTAAGAGTATGGTGTTTACCTTAGGCGCATTCATGAATTTAATCACAAGAAGAAAAACTCATATTAGGCATGCCGTATACCCTAACATGCATCAAATTACTTAACCAAAAACCTACATAGTAGCTAAGCATCAAGATCATTAGTTAAGAAAATACGCACAATGATTCAATTTCAACAACATAGAAATTCTAATAGCATGACATAACTAAGCCTTGAATAATTAGAAAAGGGTTACATTGTGTCTTAGTAAAAGAAATTAGTTACTCATAACCATGGTAAGAAAGAGATAAGAAAAACCCTTACGTGCGTTTGGATGAGGGAAATAAACTTGGGATTTTGACAAAACTTAGAATTTCTAAATTGACACGAACCAATTCCTGTGTTTGGATAAAAAAAAACATAGAAATTTAGAAATTCCGCGTGAGAAAAAACATGAAATTTGGAGATCATAAATCCAAACTTTAAACTCTATCTAAAAGTCGTCATTTCTAAAATCCCAAGAGAGATTGAGTTTAAAAAAAAACAACTTTACAAATAAGGGTTGAATTCCGTGTTTTAAATTCATCACCCAAACAAGAAACTTTAATTTCCATAATTTTAAATTCCGTCATTTATAAAATCTTTTATACTTTTAAATTTCCTCATCCAAACACACTGTTAGAGTTTAGAGGCATGATCGCTCTTCCTTGCTCCACGATTGAATTCCAAAATTTCTGATACATCCTTTGAGCCCCCACGAGCTCCCCTCTAAAAAGAACCTAAAACCTAGTTAGAATGGGCCTAAACAAGTGGCCTTACACGAAGACTTGATTTCCAAGTCAGTTCCTAACTAGAAAAGGTAATTAAAACTAAGTTTCCTAAAACTTCCAGGAAACTGCACGTGATCCTCTTTGGAAAGCTCTGGATGTCTTCTTTTCAACCATACGTCTTATGCCTCAATCTGATGTCGTATGACTGAGTTATGGCCAAAATACCCCCGCTGACTCAGTATTCTCCAGGACTTAGTGCCCGTTTGGCATTGCTTATTTGGGGTGATAAATGATTTTTTAAAAATTTTGAGAAGCCCAACCCGTTTGGTAAACTATGAGAAAATCACTTATTGTTAAAAATTGTTGTGAGAGAAAGCTATAAGGGAAAGTAGCTAACGGGGTGCTTTCATTTTCTGATTATGCAGGAATCAGTTTCGAAGATGCGCTGGATTTATTGACTATGTGTAAAATCAATACCAACAACACTTTTAACAAAAATTTTACCAGACACCAAACTGCTTTCTCTCACAGCTGATTTCTCTCACAACAAATCTGACAGCGATTATTTTCACAGCACAGTAATGTCAAACTAGCCCTTAGTCTAGGCTGAGTTGTCTAATTACAAATGGGCACCTTAGCAGTCTTCAAAAATTATCAAAATATTCATGGACAAACGTCAAGATGCTGTCTTCCATCCATAATTGGAATCATGTCAAACTCTATTATGAGTAATATTTGACGAATTTATACATTTCGTGACTCATAAGTTGAAAAACCAGAAAATAAATAAAATCAGCATCTTTAGTCCAAATTAATTCACAAAACTAAGTAAAAATGATATAACATCATGTGAAATTATGAACATATGAACATTCAAAATACTGGAAAATACCATTGCTTAATGCAAACATTAAGAATTGAAATTATTAATTAAATGAGGATAATATGGTAAATTCACACCTTTTCATGTTAATTTTTTTTTAAATAAAAAAATATCAGATAATGGATCATATTTTTATGGAATACAACTACCCATTATCTTTTTTTATTTCTAAAATAAACAAATTTTTTTTTAAAAACAGCCTCTTGCAGGCGCGGAAGCGTGTGTGAGAGGCTAATTTTTTTTTTTTTTTTTTTTTTCGACTTTATCTTTTGAAATTAAATTAAATTTAAATTTATTAAATAAATTTTATTTAAACTTAAAAAAAAAAAAAAAAAAAGAAGAAGAAGATTTCCCAACAGCCTACCCTCCCTGTAAAACCCCTATCTCTTCCTCTTCACCACTACCACCGGCACCGCTCATGAAGACCATCACCATCCAAACCCTCATCTTCCTTAATGCCTCTTTCTCTGAAATTGATCATGACACCTGCCACAATGTTAAACACACCACCACCTTCAACTTCTATCGCCTTATACTATTTCCAAACCCATATCCAATACTGTAACTCCTTTGTAACGATTACTTCAATCCAAACAATACAACAATTCTCTTAAAGGTCTCTCTGTTTTGCATTCACTCTAACAATTCCCAACCATTAACACAAACACCAAGGCTTCCATTATTCCATTTCATCACCATCATCATCATCAATACCAATTTTGTCTTCCTCCCTTTAAGGGATGAAGAGGAGGAGGAGGAAGACAAAGGGAGATGAGTGGCAATCATGGCAGGTAGTGCGGAGATGGGTGGCGGTCATGGCACGTTTTGGGGGTTAGGGTTGTTGCATTCGAAAGGGGTGGCTGTTGGGAATTCAGAAGATAAAAAAATTAAGAATAAGTCTATCTGTAAACAAAATTAATTTTTGTTTTAAAGTTGATACATGACAATAATTGAATGGGAGTATCACACACTGACATGGTACATCCGTATCACTCTATAATTTCTTCACCTCAAGGACAAGCTCCAATGTGCAGCAATTTAAGAAGTACATATGTAGTCATATGCGTATGAGAGAATAAGGGAGATTTGATAGTTTTCCATGTTTTGTTTTTGTTTTTTTTATAGATTAAATTGATAAAAGAGCATCTTCCTCGGAGATGTCAAATGCAAGATTTAGCTTCGGTAGTAGTTTGACATATTGTAAAAATGTTAACTCCACTCTTTTTATATGATCAATAAAATTTTAAGGCTTAATTGTCAAAATGGTCCATGTATTTTGATCCTTGTGTTTG